CATCATCGTCTTCCTCCTCCTCCTCCACCATAGCATTTTCTGAAGGCTTACTCTGTGCAGTCTTCATGCTTAAACTTTCCATTATCATCAAATCCTCACAATGGCCTTTTGAGGGAGATACTACAATCATTACTATTTTTACAGAGGCTTGGAAAGGTTAAGTACCTTTCTAAAGTAACACAGCAAGGAAATAATGAAGCTACCCTTCCAATCCAGACAACCTGCTCCCGAAGCCCATGCTCTAACCACAGCATCACACCGCCCACCCCAGGGATGTGGGAACATTCACCCAGACAGTGCTTTTCCACCTACGGCTGTCCCATGATAAAGTCTGAATCTCCACGTCACTTTGCCAAGCTGTACACTCCTTTGCTCAAATGGCAGTAGTATGTGCTTAGAGTATACAAACTAATTTTATTAATACTAGCCTGAGCACAGCATAATCCAGCAGATAAATCCTAATGCATGAATATCTATGTCACCTAACTGTAGAGGAAATCTAGTGTATTTATAAATGGAAATTTATATTCCACGCTTCTGGAAAGCTCAGTGTTGAAGTTCTGCTTACCTGGTATTGCCAGTTGGGGCTTGTGCCTCAACATCCAAGTCCCACACCAGGAACAGGAGAAGGAGCATCTCTGGGCATGAATTCCCCACCCCCTGTACAGGCTGGCACTGGGAGGTATATTAGTTATTTATTTGTGGACTTCAGAGTGGTTGGATAGAATAACCAAGGGTTATCATCATTGGACAAGATTAAATTCTTGAAGTTATCTATGGACCTTGTTTCAATGAAGAAGAGAAAAAAAAAAATCTTACAGTAAAACTTTAACAAGTGGGTTTTAAGGGAAGAGAACTAGGGCTCCCGGAGACTTTGGACATCACCTAGGCTGGGGGTTTTGAACTCAAATGCAGGTCATGGGAACAAGTGAAGCAAGTCAGGCTGAGTGAACAACGAGGGAGGCTGCAGGCTGAGGCCCGCTGTGGCCGCTCCGAAATACTGGCCAACTGTTGTCAGCCGTCGTCTTTCTTACCAGATCTGATTTTCCAGGCAAGGCCAGATTACCATGTTTTATATGAAATGTATTAACAATTTTCTACTCATAAAACATAGCAGTAGCCAAATAGAACATTGCAGCGGGCCAAATCTAGCCTAGAACCTCCTCATGTGGTAGAAGAGGGGCAAAGTCTAGAGGTGTTAACTAAACTTACCAAGTGGGGGACCCAAATTCCTTATTCTCTTTTCTATGTCACACTCTGTTTTACAATCTCTATTTATAAAGATGTGACATTGTCACTTGTTGGTGAGCATCAGAAAAATGAGATATTCCAATCATTGGTGGCCTTACTTAAAATCTCCTGCCAGTTGTCAGATTTTGTCTTATTTATGGTGTTTAATCTCTGTTTCCATGGAAGGATATAAAACATCTCAGCCACCTTTATTTTAGTTGTATTTAAGTTGTTACCATAGATTATTCTTTTTTTGCTATGAATATGCTCCTTTTATAGCTATAGTTATATAAATGTCCTACTCTAGTTATTTATCCTTGATCGCCTGGCCTCTGTTTTCGTTTTTACACATAAAAATGAAAGCTGTGGCAAAGGCTAGGAATGTCTTGAGCAGCATTCATGTCTAAACGGTTGAGGGGGTCAAACCGCAGCAGCTCTGTGCCTGCTGATGTAAATTGCTACACAGCAGTCAGCTGTCATTCATCTTAAAAATGAAGCAGTCAGACAGAATTTACATCTGCTTTCAGTGGTCATGCGCCATCAGAATCTTATTCCTGTTTGAACATGAAGTCCAAATGTGACTGTTAGTAGATCTTGAAAGATTTAGTATAGGCAGCTCCTGTCGAGAAGTGAAATTCAGGGGGCCTGCCACAGCTGACTCCTGCCCTTGGACCTCTTGAGATCGCCCCCCCCCCCACCAGCAATTGAGTTTAAAATTTGAATGCCACTATGGAGGCCATGAGCACCACCACCTTCTACCCCTCCCTGCAGGTGTCTCTCCCCATCTCGTGGTTTTTCTTACCTTTCTGGGTCTTGAAAGCATTTGAGTTTTTGACCCCTGCTCTAAACTGTCAGCAATCTCACCTTTAACATAACTTTTTTTTTATGATAAGGAATTAACATCTTACGTAAGAGTTGAGTCAATACTCTTTCAACTACTTCAGAGCTGCTTCCCATAGACTGGGAGTTGCTGCCTAAATAAAATAACCATATCAAGAGATGATTGCAGTAATGAGTCAACTCATCTTCTGCTTCCAAAGTTTCATCCATGTGGCCACCAAGAGAAAAACTACTCTTTCGTCATTTTGTTCCCATAATCTACAAGATAAAGCTTGCACTACCCACTGGCATTCAGGGTCCTTCAGAATTCGGCCTCCACATAAACGACCAGAGCTATTCCCCTACCTCACCAGCACAGCCTCTCCACTCTGACGCACACACCTGGCCCATGCCTACTTATTTACTCATGAGCCTTACTCTCTTCCCTCTTTGCCTCTCCAAAGGCTCCCATTCTTTGGCACTCAACTCGAATTCCATCTTTTCCATTAAGCTTTTTTAAACCATTCTAGTCTCAAATGATCTTGCCTCCTCTTGAAGGTAAATGCTCACTTAACATATAATGAATGAATTCCGGCATGACCACTTAATTATGGCCAACTTGCTTAACCTTTTAAAGATATAGCTGTATCATCTGTAAAAATGAACTTTGGGCAAGGATTAAATGAAATGTTATTATGAAATTATCTAGGGGGTGGGAGCCAGGTGGAGGTGGACAAAGGGGTGGGGAATGGAGACATCTATAATAGTGTCAATAACAAAGATAAAGGAAAAACTTAAAAAAGAAATTATCTAGCAGAAATGCTACATAGACTCAAAAGACATTAAGTATACAGAGACTCAAGAAATACTAGCCCGATTTACTGCTTTCCTCCCTCTTTTATTGTTAATTAACTTTTCAAATGTGTATATTGTCTCTTCCTGGTTACACTACTGAAGCAAGGACCCATTTCTTCAAGTTGTTTTCTATCAGTCAGTGCAGCTAGCATGGAGCCTTGCTGATAAAATATTGTGATTGAGTGAATACTAAGAAAGCTTCTCTATTAAAAAAAATAAGCCCAGAGACTGGCTGCTGACACTGGAATTTCCTTCTTTACAAACATTTTGTTCTAAGTTAAGCATTGCTCCCAGTGAAATTCCAACCCTTCCTGGGAAACAGTAACATATTATATTTCATAAGTTATTCACATCTGTGCTGATTAGACTTTTTTGTTTCACGAGGAGCAGAAACTGCCTTGCAGGTTATGGCTGTTATATGAGGTATGGGGATGAGTTTGTTAATAAAGGTAACACTTTATTATAACGTATTTAATGTCTTTCCGGCATAATTGCGATGGCAATATAGAAGGGAAGAAGAGAAATACAGACATTGCACTATCAAGGAAGGACAAGGGGCGAAGCTGGGTGCCGCCCACCATCGGAATCGCAGCAGGACAGCACGGGGAACCTGTCGCATTTTCCCCAGGACTAAAAGGGTTCCTAGGATACAGAGCATTCATTGTAAAACAAGGAAAATCCCAGACACGCTGGGAAAAGTTGGTCACCCTATTAGGCACCAGTAAAATCTCACCAAAAGACGCTTTGTCTAATTTCAAAAGTGTGCTTAGGAGTCCGCGGCACACAGAGCGGCACAAACCTGTCCCCAGCTGGTTAGAGCAAAGGGCTCAAGAGGCCAAGGCTAAAGGTTTGATTTTCCAGGAAACTTTGCTCTCTTCCACAATCAGAATCTGTGCACCTCACTTAAGCCAGTCCTTCTCCAGTGTCATCGACTAAGCACGAGGGAAATAAGGAGCAAGCACGGATACTTGGATGAAATCCTTCCCTGCTACGAGTAACGCTGGGGGAGAGACTCTGATGTTTTCCTTCTGCATGAATATTAAGTGTTTGAAAAACTACACACAGAGAAATTCATTTTCTGAACTTCCAGCTTAAATGGGTTCTAAATAACAACATCAATAACACAGGAGTGGGCAAACGGAGGTTTACGGTTGTGAGTACCTGAAACGCAGAGTTTATTCTTGTATTATTATTTATTAATTATTGTATTATTTATTATTATTGTTAACATACTTTCGCCCACCCCAGTATAGAGCCTATTTGCAAATTTCCACAACATGTTCTCCCATCTGATTCCATCCTAACCCTAACCCTGTGAGGTATGGGTGGCAGACACCAAGCTCATCAGGGTTGGGATCACCATGGTTACCCAGCCAGAGAGCAGCAGCAAGGGCCTGCAGTCCAGAGTGTTTTATTGTTTGCCTTAGTTGTTTTGATACAGGTCACAACCTCCTGCAATGCAGCAAAACACACAGCATTCAGGTCCCCTTGAATTTATCCATATTACTTCCATAAGAACCTCCAAACTCCTCAGGTCCCAGGACCAAGCCACACAGCCTTAAAACTCCTGGGCATCTCGCCCAACATTCCCCAAAGCTGGACTGGTTATTCCCCCATGTGAGATGCATAAAGACATGCACACTCTTCACCCTGTTTGTTGGTCCAGCCTGGGGGATTGGAAAAACTACCTCTGTTCTTAATGTTTAGCTACTGCCATGCTCTGCACCTCATTGGTTTCTTGCTTTTTTGTTGTGTTGTTTTGTTTTGTGTTCTGCTATTCATGTAGCATATTTTTATTGCATACTTTTCCATGACCATTTATCCCCCATTCCCTCTTTCACCTCCACCCTCTTTCTCCCCCCTTCACTTTATTATTATGAGCCTTTACTTTTCCATAGACTTTTCTGCCTAAATCCACAAAGTTGTGTGGTGTTCCTGTTAGTAAACTGAAAGCTGAATTTCCCAAACACGTTAATTTTTCCTTTAAAGCAAATGTGGGTAGGATGATAACCGCCCTGTGTCATACTTTCATGTTACTCATTAACTAACTTCAAAAAAAAAAAAAAAGCCTCAGCTAGATTAGGAGCCATGTGAAGAAAGAGCTTCCTGCAATGCAGGAACTGAACAAAGCAAAACCGTAGATTTTCACATTATTGGGGAGACTCAGAAATGCGCCTTTGAGTTTATTTTTTGACCTGGCATCTGACAAGTGCACAATGGTGAAGAAAAGGCTGTCTTCCAATGACTCAGTGTTCCGGTGGGAGACTCCTGGCAGCCCAGGCAAGGCCAGCTCGGAGGCCCCGCACAGCTCCACCGACAGCCCCGGCTCAGTGTTTCTCAGGTGGGTACCCCGCCTCTGATCCGTCGATGGCTTCTGCCACCTGACAGGTCCTCCTTAAAGAACTCCTTCCTCATTCCCTAAGGTAGCAGTGTGCCAAGGAGAACGAGAAGGCACAGCCTTGGCATCCAGGCCAGTGGATTAAAGGGATACACGGCAAAGGATGTGACTTCCTGAGCAAATAGAACTTTACCACTATTAAGGGAAAATTGTTAATTTTTAGTACTAGATCAGTGAACTCACTCTTCAGTTCATAGGAAGTGAAGACGCAACTGAACCAAAAACCTTACTTTAGTGTTAAACTTACCTGTATTAATTATTAACATAGTAATTATTAAAACATTAAAATGATTGCACTCTTTTTGGTTTCCTACATTAAATATTTAAAGAGTGCTAGCTATGCTCTGGCTCAACTACTTACTGTACCGTGATTTACAACAGCTGTGACCAGATTCAGACTATTTCCTTTTTAGCTGTTAGTATTAATATCTACAGCAACACCACTCAAATAATTACAGAGTTTAAGTGAAAATTCATTTATTGGCTCTGTATTCATTTTGTCTCATAATAATTATCTAGAACTTATAAAAGGTAGACATAAGGTGCAAGTGGAAATCAATTGCAAGAGAAGTTTCTCCTCCGCTTTTGATGTGAACATTAGTGTACCTTTCACATAAACTTCGCAAGTGAAGGCAGAGGGTTGACCTCCATACCTGAAGTTTACTTTCACATAGCACCATATCCAGAAAGTTGATAATCTGTGTTATTTTTTAATCATTTAAAATCACTTACACAAAGAGGTGCTCAAAATTATGTTTAAAAATTAAATAGAAAACAAAGAAATCCCATTTCATTTAATGGCATTCACACATGAGAATGCAGGTTATGAGTGCAAATTAAATAATTTTAAAAAGAAGTTTTAGAGACCAAGAGTCTGAATTTATGCAAAACGTTACCTAATACCTATTTGAAAGTTAGCTTACTTTTTCCATCCATCATTAAAACGAATCTACCTAACTTGCATTATTTTCACATTTTGCTGAAATTCAAGTATTTCTCAAATCACTTTGTCCACTTAATCCATATCTTTTGTAGATTTTAATGAAAATTCTTTTTGGAGCTCAAGCTCTAACCAGGAGAAATTAAATTAAATTAAAATGCATTAATGAATGAATGAATTAATTGCATAAAGTATATTTTTTGCAGTTCATAATAATTTTTACTTTTCAGTTACAGTTGACATACAATATTATATTAGATTCAGTGCAAAACTCAGTGCCTAGACATTTATATAACTTACAAAGTGATCACCCCAATAAGTCTAGTACCCACCTGGCACCATCTATAGGTATCACAATATTGCTGACTATATTTCCTATGCTGCACTTTATATCTGCATGACTATTCGGTACCTACCCATCTGCACTTCTAAATGCCTTCACCTTTTTCACCCATTTCCCTAACTCCCCGCACATCTGGCAACCATCAAAACAGTCTCTGTATCTATGAGTTTGTCTCTGTTTTGTTTGTTCATTTTATTTTGTTTTTTAGATTCCACATATAAGAGAAATCTTATGGTATTATTTTTTCTCTAACTCATTTCACTTAGCATAAATAAATATAACACATATGATTTAAATAAGTATAGATAAATAAACGGAATAAAAATAAAATAAAAACCTGCATCAACCTAATTCAAGCCTTTTATAAAAAGAACCCAGGCCTATTTCACCAGCGTATTTAAATATTCAACATAAAAGCTCTATATTAAAATTTATAAGTGTTTTTTTAATGTGTATTAGAACCAACCTAAAAGCATTACCCATATCTCCAAAGAGCTTGGGCATTGGAGTGCTTTCAGTCTAGTTGAAAGATCTATTTAAAATATGGTATATAAAATCATTGAGAATAATTTGTAGAAGCATTCAGGCACATGCTTGTTAATTATTTCAGGTCAAAAATAAGAACAGGTAAACACTTCTCTTGACCTTCTAAATAAATATTAAGAATTTATGTGGCAGTTGTGGTATCGCATTGTCCTTTTCAGGAACAAGAGCTAATAATTCATCTACTCTCAGATTAACTACAGATATAATTTATGCAGTATTTTTTGGTCAATCATTCAATTCAGCAAAGACTTATGAGTAATTATTACATGCCAGGTTATGTGGAGGGCACGGGGGATATAATCATGAAAAAGCAAGGCCTAGTTCCTGCCTTGCTTTGAAGGCTGTTCATGTCAGAAAGGCAAAAAAAGTTATGCATACATGCATACATACATATTAATATAACTCAAACATGAATGCATGTTATTGTAGGAAACAAACACAGGGCTAAGACAGAGAGTGAGATGGAGAAAACTAATTTAGATGGGGCGACAAGTAAGGGACTCTTAAGGAAGTGACATTTAGGCCACCTTACAGGATGAAAAAAGAGCTGACCATGCAATGATCCGGAAGGAGCCTGCTGCTCTGAGGTGGGGAGATCCTGTGTCTTGAGGAACCTGGGGACAGTGGCACTCAATGAAACTGCAGACATAAGCGGAGGTTGGAGGTGTTTAGAGCTCTATTCTAATTGCTCCTAATTGGGGGGTTTAGGATAAGAGAGTATCACATGTGGTGCTCCCTTTAGAAGGGCACTCTGGCCACCCTCTGGGTTCTTTCCAGTTTTTTACTCATTCAAGCAATTCTAGATCTTCCCGTATCTCTAAGGTATGTACCTAGGAGAGGAATTGCTGAGTCACAGATTATGGACATGATTAACTTTGCTCATTATGTCAAATTGTGTTCCAAAGTTCTGTGCCATTTATGCTACTACCAGCAGCGACTCCCCTGCCTCAACAACAATGGCACTGTCCACTTTTTAATTTTTTCCAATCTCGAAGGTATGAAATAGCATCTCAGTGTGGTTTTAGTGTGCATTTCCCTTATAATTATAGGGGGAACCATCTTTTCAGTGTGTTTATTGGTCATTTTCATTTCCTCTTTTGCAAAACACCTGCTATGGGTTGATGGCCTTCTGGGGCAGGAGTGGGGGAGAGAGATTACTATCTTCTTCTTATTTGTAGACAGTTTTTAAAATGTTCCAGATTCTGATCTTTTGTTAGTTGTATGTGTTGCAAATATTTATTTTGGCATATGACTTGTTTGTTCAGGTTCTCTATTATGTCCAAGTTCTTATTTTTAATTTATCAGTTTATTAATTCTGTTCCTCATGACTTATAATTTCTGTTACTTGCTTGAGAAATCCTTTCCTACCCTGAGGTCATAAGAATGCTTTTTTTTTTCTAAAACTATATTTCCCTTTCAAACTAGGAACCTACAAAGGAATTATAATTTAGTTTCTGGTGTGAATTAGGGGACATCATTTTGATTTTTATATGGATAATAAAAAATCCCACATTACTTATTGAATAGTCTTTCCTTTACTTATTAATCTGCAATGCTATCTCTGTCATACATCACTGTCTTCATAAGTATCACTTTATAATAAAAGTTTTGTTATCTGATGAGACTCCTTACCTAGTTCAGAAGTGATTGGCTACTCTCGACCCTTTGCTCTACAGTTTAAATTTTAGGATCTACTTATGGAATAAGTCTATTTTTAATTCAAATGGCATTGACTCTGTTCCTCAATTTGAGGAAATTTAACATTTTATGGTACTAAATCTACTTATTCATGCACATAGTATGTCTTTCATTTAAGTCTTCTTTAATGTTCTTCAATAAAGCTTTAAAATATTCTACACAAAACTCTTACACATCATTTATTAGATTTATCCCTAGGTACTTCACATCTTTGTTACTATGGGAAATATATCTTAAATTGCATTTTATTTTGTTGATATTGTACTGAATGTAATTAAATTCCTAAATTGATCTTATATTCAACATCACTGCTAAGTCTTCTTACTAATTTAATGATCAATCTGTAGAGTATATGAAATTTTCTTTGTAGACAATGTTATTTGAAATAATAAAATTTTTATTTTTATTTTTCTGATCTTTACTCTCTAATCTTTTTTATTGTGTTACACAAGCAACGAACTCCATTATAATGTTGAGCATAAGTAGTCATTCCAGGCATTCTGGTTTTGTTTTGTTCTTAATTTTTAAGGGAATGCTTTTAACGTTTTAGATTTTGTCAGCCTTTCTCAGGTTAATAAAGCTCCCTTCAAACTGAGGTTTTATAAGAAATTGTTAAAACTATTGAGTGCTTCCCTGGTCTCCTCTGAGATGACCCTCACTTGAAAATCTTTGATGTTCAGGGTGGGGGGAGGGAGAAGAGGGTAAAGTGGGGATAAGCGGTGACAGAAGACTTGACGTGGCGTGGTGATCACACTATACAATATATAGATGATGTATGACAGAATTGTACACCTGAAACTTATATAATTTTATTAACCAGTATCTCCCTGATAAATTCAATGAAAAAAGAACCTGTGATGTATAGAAACCTTAAAAAAATAAATAAATTCTTTGACATTCATAATGAGCACAGTACCCCCTCATTCAAAATTCACAAGAAATCATCAGTCCCCAAAATACAGAGGACATCAGGTGGTCCTGAAAAACCATGATTTGCTGTAAGCTTTATTAGACTGAAAAGGGCTCTGGAGAATTAACAGTTTCATAAATTAGTCAGCAAACAAAAATCAAGAATTTTTATTCAATTACCTAACTGGTTTTTGGAAAACTATTATACGAATTAGCCATTAGATCTATTGCTTTTAATAAATTTTTTTTCCAAAATATTTTGTTTGAGATTATCAGTCTATTTCAATTTTAGGCAAAGGTGAAAGTTTCCCAGTGGTGCTAATATGAAGAATGGGGAGTTATAAGCTTTGGGGGCACACACAAGGTCCAAAATAGCAACTAAAAAAGCCAGAGGTGAGGCAGCCCTAAGCTGGAATGAGACACCAGAGTGGGACCAGCCCAGGCCTGCTCAGACTCCTTCTGTGCTCCACTTTGGGAACCATGCCAGGCTGTAGTCAACAATGACCT